CCCAGGGGGCCCCCGGGGCCCCGCGGGCCTTGCATTTGTTGGGCTTTTGGGTTCACCTGCCTGTGCGGAGTCTTTTGCGTATTTTGCGCATGACTCTGGACTTGGGCCTGGCGCCGCAGTTGGCCCTTTTGGGGTAACGGCAAGAAGGGTTTCGGTTCCAGCAGTAGTAGGCGAGTGTGGGGCCTTGGGGTGTACGTACACCGCAGCGGCCAAAGGCCTGCGGTGTGCAGACGCCCCCGAGGCTGCGGTGCTCCGGTGTATGGACACCTGAGGGCGGGCGGTTTTCCGGTGTATGGACACCCGACAGAAGGGAACTCGCGGGTGTATGTACACCCCAAAGAGAGGAACTCGCGGGTGTATGGACACCCCAAAGAGAGGAATCTTCAGGTGTATGCACACCCGAAAGTGGGGAAGTTTCGGGTGTACCTACACCCGAAAGAGAGGAATTCTCGGGCGTATGTACACCCCAGATTCTTGAGTTTGGGGGCAAGGTGGGGCCCCTTTGGAAGAATGAAACCACTGGAGGGGAAGGGGCCCCAAAAGCCTCACGGGGGCCCCCCGGGGGGCCCCCAGGGGGGCCCCCAAAACTCAGAAGTCCCCATAGACCCGGGGGGCCCCCTGGGCTTTCGTGGGGGCCCGCGGGGCCCCAAATTTGTTGGAGAGAAAACATGGGAAAAAATGAAGGGCTGGGGTGTACATACACCTCAGAAATGAATGGAGAAGCGGCCAAACGAGGGCTGCCTCTTCCTGCTGCTGCTGCTGCTGTTGCTGCTGCTGCTGCTGCTGGATGGCTTTTTGTTTGGCTGCTCGTGAAAGCCAAAACTCCAGGGGGGCCCCCAAGGGCCCTCGGGGGGCCCCCAAGAAGGCTGAGGGCCTCTTTTATGAGGGGCCCCTGGGGGCCCCTCAGGGGGCCCCACAGGGGCCCCGCCGCTGCGCGGGCAGCGGCAGCCATATCCCCCTTTTTGGCTTTTTGCTTTTTATAATTTTAAATGAATTAAAATAAATATAAATATAAGAGGAAATCTGCAACAAGAAGATGTGTGGCTGCTGGCTGAGGGCCCCGGGGGCCCCCGGGGGCCCCGGGGGTCCCCTGGGGGCCCCTTGGAGGCCTCCAGAGGGTACTAGCAGGGCACAGCGTACGGGCTTTTATAAGTTGTGATTTTAAATATAAGATTTGATTTTAAATTAATTCAAATAAATACTTTTTGGACATTTTGTGTGAAAAAAGTGAAGGTAAATTGGCAAAGATGAGAATGTGCGGCAGAAATGAAAATTAATTGATTTATGAATTTGTTTATTTGCCATATTTCTTTGTTTTCCTTATTTGCAATTTTCTGAAAAATATTTCAAGTCCATTTTCTGAGATTTTTTTTGCCAATTTGCATCTATTTAGCCAACTTCGAATACCATCTGTATCAAAAAATAACAAAAGTAAATTAAATTAAATTAGACTAGATCCATTTTAATTTAAATTTACATTAAAATAAACGTAAATGTCCATTCTGCACAAAAGTGGCCAGCTGCAGATACACTCGAACGAGCTGCGGCCTCAGGTGTCTGTACACCTGAGAGCGGGCGAGAGTGCGATCTTCGCCTTCCGTCCCAAATGCTGCAGCAATTGACTTTCAATAAGTTTTAATTACAATTATAATTATAAATATGATTATTAATAATTATAATTTTGAATTTATTTACCTTATTTTGCAACTAGGCCGCACTTCCCGCCGCCGCTGCCAAAGTCACAACCAGAAAGCCGCTGCTGCTAAGTTGAATGCATTTCGATGTCAGATAAAAAGTAAAGCTATGAAATTAAATTGATGAAACTAAAATAGTTATTATGACTCTGCAATGAATTAAAACAGAAGTATAAATTATTTCTCCACAACAGGATCTGCATTCGTGCTGCATATACACCCTTGGCTGCGGCACCTGCCTGTACACCAGAGCTGCCTATACACCTCAGCTGCCTATACACCTCAGCTGCTTATACACCTCAGCTGCTTATACACTTCAGCTGTTTGTACACCTCATACACTTGAGCTGTCTGTACACCTCAGCTGTCTGTACACCTCAGCTGTCTGTACACCTCAGCTGTCTGTACACCTCAGCTGTCTGTACACCTCAGCTGTCTGTACACATTGCAGTGCCTGAGGGGCCTCAAGGGCACTCCCCACAGGCACCAGCGGACGCAAAATAGGCCTCTTATCTTGGCTGGCTAGCTAGCTAGCCGGACAGCTAGCTAGCTAGCTAGCTGGCCCGCTGGCTGGCAAGCTAGCTAACCAGCTGCCGAGCCAGCTAGCTGGCTCGCTGCCGTGCCAGCGAGGGAGCCAGCCAGCTAGCTAGCTAGGCAGCTAGCTAGCTAGCCAAGCCCCCACTAGGCTAGCTAGCTACAGGGGGTCCCCAATGGCTAGCTAGCTAGCTAGCTAGCTAGCTAGCTAGCTAGCTAGCTAGCTGCCTCGCCAGCTAGCCACGCTGCAGTGAGGCAACGAACACATGAACTGTCATTTTTTCTGACACGAAGCGCCGCTGCAGCCGCAGCCAATGTTGCCACCCGCAGCTTCTGCTGCTGCTGCGGCTGCTGCTGCTGCTGCCGCCGCTAAAGGCCGCAGCAGTAGACGCTCTGCATTCCTGACATCTGCTGCTGCTGCTGCTGCAGTCGCCACTGCTTCTCCAGCAGCAGAGATGAAGGCTCTCTATATGAGCAGCAGGGGCTCCTGCTGCTGCATTGACACAGGAGCGGCGGAGGCAACGACCTGCTGCGGCTGCTGCTGCTGCTGCTGCTGCTGCTGCTGCTGCTCTTGTCCTCGGGCATCCTTGGACCCTGCTGCTGCTGCTGCTGTTGCTGCTCTAGCCGGCGGCTGCTGCACCTTCTTGGCCAACGCAAATGCGTCCAAGGCACTCAAGGCAGCGTGGGCATCGGCAGTTTGCTGCAGTAGCACAAACAGCAGCAGCAAAAGCAGCAGCAGCAGCAGCAGCAGCACAGACGCAACATCCACTCCTCCGCCGAGCTATTTCATTTTTGCACAGCAGCAAATACAAGCAGCGGCAGCAGGCAAGACAACCGCAACAGCAGCAGCAAACACACATACACCCCGGGTATAAGTCACAGCAGCAGCAGCAGCGACTGCTGCTGCTGCTGCTGCTGCGAGCAGCAGAATGTGACTGACTTGTTTGCTGCTCTCCCCCAAGCTAATTTGTGAAGGGCTGTATGCTGCCTGGCCGCTCAAGCGAGTGCCGCATGCAGCCCACGGGTCTGCTGCTGCTGCTGCTGCTGCTGGTGTTGTTGGTGCAGGGCGCGGCAGCTGCTGCTGTGCAGCAGCAGCAGCAGAGCCAGCAGCAGGAGGCGCAGCAGCAGCAGCTGGTGCACAGAAGGAAGGAGAAAGAGCAGCAAACGAAGAAGAGCCACTCATGAAGGAACCAGGTAAGTTTGAAGGACTTGCTGCTGCGCCGAAGCTCTGAGGCCACGCAGGCGCTGCTGCTGCTGCTGCTGCTGCTGCTGCTGCTGGTGTTGCTGCTGCTCCAAAGGCCGTACCGGCAGACCCCCAAATCGCCCAGTCTGCTGTGCCCGCTGCTCCCAGCGACGGCTGCTGCTGCTGCTGCTGCTGCTGCTGCTGCTGCTGCTGTGGGGTGTTGAAGAAGGACAAACTCTCTAACCCCTGCGGCTGAACTGGCGGCTGCGAGAGAGTGCCGAAGCCTAAAAGAATAAAAATAAAATAGAAAACAAAAAAAACTCAAATGAAACAAGAGCACAAATAGAGTGCAAGGAGCCGCTGCAGCAGCAGCAGCAGCAGCAGCAGCAGCAGCAGCAGCAGCAGCAGCAGCGGAAGCAGCCGTTTCGGCGGCAGCAGCAGCAGCAGCAGCCTGCTGCTGCTGCTGCTGTTGCTCAGCTGCGAACTGCCGGGAGCCACAAGGAGACGAGCAGAGCAGCAACAGAGACAAAACGAGCAGCAAGAAGAGCAGCAAAAAGATCAGCAAAAGCTGCAGCAAAAGCAGCAGCAAAAGCAGCAGCAAAAGCAGCAGCCAAACGAGACACACCAAATTGGTTCGGAGCAGCATAGAGACGGGCAATGGTGGCTTTGGCTGCCTGGACTCGCTGGTCTGTGGCACTCAGCTGCGGCGCTGCTGCTGCTGCTGCTGCTGTGCTTCCTGCAGCAGCAGGTGCAGCAGCAGCAGCAGCAGAGCCTGCTGCAGGAGCATCAGGATTGAAAACTGCGAAGTCCTCGGGCTCAGTCAGAAGCCAGGCGTCAGTAGAGCTGCAGCACGAAAGCAGCAGCAGCAAAGAAAATTGAATTTAATGGATTTGTGTCATAGGGAAAAAAAAGTATATTTGGACTAAAAAAGACCAATAAGTGCAGAAAATGCATGCAAATAAAGCTCTATTTGCATTAATAAACAGAGAAATAAAAGAAATAAAAATAAAAGAACTTAAAGAAAAAGAAATGAAATTAATAAAAGAAATAAAACTGCCAAAAACACATATGCAGCCACCTACGGAACTGCAGGGGCGGGGGCTGCATTATGTTTCTTCGAGTCCCTGCAGCAAGAAAACAAAATAAATAAATAAATAAATAAATTGATTAATTTATTTATTTATTTATTTATTTATGTATCAGCTTCTAAACGTCCCAGTGGTGCAGCGGGTGGGCAGCACCATCTGCCTGAGGTGTCTGTACACCTCAAACTGCGCGCAGAAAGAACTGCGCGATCCTCTTTCTTCCGGGAAAAATAAATATTTAAAAAGATTCTTTTTGATTGAATTTAATTTAAAAAGACACAATGTTGTTTGTTTGAATTAAAAGAGCTGCGAAAGTTGCACTTGGGAGTGAAATCGGCGAAGAGGAACAAGGGCATTTCTACAAGCCGGAAGGAGCGAATCTTCTCGAAAAAAGGGAACTTGAAAACAAAATAATGATGAAATTAAATAACATTAAAACTCAGCTCACCCGCTTTGCTGCTTTTTGCTCTTTTCTTTCTTGTGAGGAGCCGCAGAAGGCAAAAGCGTCCGGGGGTCTTTGCCTGCGCGCAATTGGGGTGTACGTACACCTCGCTGGGGTGTACAGGCAGGTGGCGCCGGCGCCGCCGCAAAGCGAAACGCGAATTAATAAAAAGAATTAATTCAAATTTAGAAGAACACTTTATGAAAATATAAATTAAATCCTAATTTTAACCTAATTTAGTTCATATGCAGACAGATCGTCAACTATTTCAGGTGTATGTACCCTCGGCCACCGCCGCCCAGGGCTCGGGAACATCTCGCGGCGAATAATTCTTTCGTTCGTATTTCGTTCGAATCCAATTTTCTATTGTCCTAAAAACAAAATGAAAACAAATTAAAAAACAAAAAGAGAATTAAAAGAAATCCAAAAAACAAAAAGAAATTTCACACTCTAGCAAAGGAACGGCAAATTTTCAGGTCTAGCGAACGCAGAACGACCCCCTAAACCCTAAACCCTAAACCCTAAACTCTAACCCTAAACTTTAATTCTAAACCCTAAGCCTAAACCCTAACCTTCGGCACTAACCCTAAACCCTGGCCCTGAAACCCAGCCCGAAACCCTGACGCTAGACCCCAACCCCAAACCCTAAACCCTGAACCCTAAACCCTAAACCCTAAACCCTAGCCACGCACTGCGGGTCGTCTGCGCGGGTGGGCCTTTTGAAATCCGCCGGCAGGGAATGTTCATAATAACTTCTTCCCACTTCATTTCCAATTGCTTCCAGTGTCTGTACACCCCAGTTCAAAAGCAACACGCAGCAGCAAACCGCACTCCTGCTGCTGCTGCTGCTGCAAGTCCTCAGGTGTACGTACACCGCGGGCCCGCCGCAGCTGCTGCCGCAACAGATACCTAGCCCTCAGCCTCAGCCGCAAACAATACACCAAACCCTAAACCCTAAACCCTAAACCCTAGAGACATGCCCTGCGCCCGCTCGGAGCCCTCCCCACAACTCCGCAAATGCACTGAGTCGCCAAACCCTCCACCCACGCAAACCCCAAACCCTAAACCCTAAACCCTAAACCCTAAACCCTAAACCCTCACCTTGACCCACTGCATGGTCCACCTGTCGAGAGTCACACTTTTGACTTTGCTGATGTGGACTCCCATCTTTCTGTGGACGCCGCTGCACTCCAAGCAGATCACCACTCCTGCAGCGCAAACCCTAAACCCTAAACCCTAAACCCTAAACCCTAAACCCTAAACCCTAAACCCTGAAGGTCAAAGATATCCATTCTTGCGGCTCCTCAGCCCACAGCACACGACCACATCTGCCGTGCAGGCAGCCAGGGAGGAGAGAGACACAGTGCGGCTTCGGAGTCCATTTTCTGCTGCTGCTGCTGCTGCTGCAGCTGCAGTTGCTGCTGCTGCTGCTGCTACTGCAGCAGCTGGTGCTGCTGCGGCTTCGGGTGCTGCTGCAGAGCTGTCGCTGCAGCTGCCGCTGCTGCTGCTGCCGCTGCAGCTGCTGCCGTCCCACCCGCCGCGACTGCTCTGCCGCCTCCGCCGCTGCCGCCGCCGCCGCCGCCGCTGCTGCTGCTGCTGCTGCTGCTGCTGCTGCTGCTGCTGCTTACCCAAGTTGACGGAGGCCCAGCGGGGGTGTTTGGCCCCACAGTCTGCGCAGCTGTCATTTCCAGGAAGCCGCAGCACTTGCTGCAGCTTCGCGTCGATGGCCCTTTGCTGCTCGGGTGTAACGACAGCCCGGCTGGGGGCGGTGGCGGGTGGCTGCATTGCTGCTGCTGCTGCTGCTGCTGCTGCTGCGCGGGGCAGCAGCCGCGGCTGCCTTTTCGAGAAGCAGGGCTAGCAGCCGCGCATGCAGCAGCAGAGCTCGGGGCCTGGGGCGCGAAGTGCAGCAAAAGGAAGACAGCAGCAAAACGAGAAAGGGAATTCCGAAAGCCCCAGAGGGCGCTGCAGCAGCAGCAGCAGCAGCGGCAGAGTTGAAGCAAAAGAACAAACAGACAGCTTTCTTTTGACTTTTCAGAAGCAAAAAAAACAGCAAAACGCCGGCAATTCCCGCATGCAGGCGGCGAAACCAGCTGCAGCTGCAGCAGCAGCAGGAGCAGCAGCGCCAGCAGCAGCAGCAGCTGCTGCTGCTGTCTGCGCGACGCAGCAGCAGCAACGAGCAGCGGTTTGTTTCGAAAAAAGCAAAATTGAAAATATTTTTTGTTTTTGAAATTCAAAACTAAAGAAATGTTTTGCTTCCTGTTGGCGCTGCAGTGCTGCTGCGGGTTCGCTGCTCGTGGTGTCTTCTGAGGTTTTGTTGCAGCTTTTTATTTCTTTTTTTATTTTTATTTATTTAATCTTTTTTATTTCGCACAATGAATTGAAAAAACAAAAGAAAGATCTTTTTGGCCGTCAGTTTCGCCAGTCTTTGCAGAAACGCGCTGTTCAGCTTTCGCTGTTTCGGACTTGAACGAAAAATGCGGAAAATGATTTTTCGCGATTTTGTTTTCCGCTTTTTCGCGATCAAATCTTTTAATTATTTCATTTTTATTATTTAACTTTTGTTTTTTTCTTTTATTTTCTTTTATTTATTTTTATTTTCGTCATTTTGCCTTTCGCGCTGCCTCTGCTACACTCGTGAGAAAGCCGGCAAACGCAGCAGCAGCAAACCGCAGCAGCAGCAGCAGCAGCAGCAGCAGCAGCGGCACTTCTCCGCTTTTGCTGCTGCGTCTTGAATTTGTTCTTTTTGAATAAAAACAAACTTGAAAGACTATTTATTGAAATTCATAACAGTTTTTAACCTTTTCCTCTCAAAGTTCTGTACTGAGGAGCCGTTTATGAATAATTTGGAATAAATGCGAAGATTAAGAAATTTGAAAATTAAAATAATTTTAATTAATTGGATTTAGTGAATTAGATATTTACACTCTCAGAAACAAAATTGAAATGAATTAATTCTTTTGAAATGAAGTTTGTCTTTTATTTGAAAAAAAATAAACTTGAATTGAAGCGTGGTGTCCATACACTGCAAAGAATGCCAGTGTCTACACTGCAGCGCGGTGTACAGACACTGGCTCGACTGCAGCACTAGTAGGGGACTTTGCAAATTAAAATGGACTCTAGTTCTCAATAAATATATATAAAATAAATTTTATTCAAAATTATAAATAATATGCTTTTAGAGTTCTTCGGGGGATACAGAAAGCTCGTTTGCTGCTGCTGTACAGACACTGCCAACAGGCTTTGCACGCCGCTGCTGCTGCTGCTGCTGCTGCCACAGGGGCAGGCTGCTGCTGTAGCAGGGGCAGGCTCCTGCTGCAGCAGAGACAGGCTGCTGCTGCTACTGCTGCTGTAGGCGCAGGCTGCTGCTGCTGCCACTGCACAGACTGCCGTTGCTGGTGGGGCACGCTGCTGCTGCTATTATTGCTGCTGCAGTAGGGGCAGGCTGCTGCTGCTGCAGCACCACTCCCAGCCTTAGCAGCAGCAAGAAATTAAAAGCTCTGTTTGCTGCTGTGCCTCGGCTCTATATGGGAAGGAGATGGGACCCTGACGGGCCCCCCAGGGGCCCCCCAGGGGCCCCTAAGGGGCCCCCGGAGGGACTTCAAGGGGCCCCCAGGGGCCTCTAAGTGGGCCCCTAGGGGCCTCCACTCTGGGGCCCCCGTCGCTGCATTTAAATATGACTGAGACCCCCGAGGTCTGAAGGCTTCATCAGCGGCGCTGCTGCTGCGCTGCTACTGCTGCTGCTGCTGCTGCTGCTGCTGCTGCTGCTATAACCCTCTCCAGCGGCGGCGTTTGCTGCCAGTAGGTGCCCAGCAGCACCGCAGCCTCTGCAGCAAATGAATTTAAAAACCCTTTTTAGATTTTGCAATTTTGTATTTCTTTTGGTTTTTAGATTCCCAGAAAAGAAGAAAGTAGCCTT